AATGTAAAAAATTTTTTTTAATATTTTTATCTATGTTTTTAATAAAAATTTTATCGAAATTTGTTAACATTGCTATGAACTGCAAACATTAAAAAATTAAAAAATCATAATTTTTTAATACTTTCGATTTAAATTCTAAAAATTTTTATAAAAATAATAAATTTTAATTTCTTTCTTGTTTGTTTCTAATCAAATGATTTCAATGAAACAACATATATGTATGTAATTAATATAAATCTTCAAAATGTGTTTTTTAAATTTTCATTTCAGACTCAAATAAAAAAATTATAAAAGCAACTTTGACTATTTTCTTCAAAATAATTGAAGTAAATTTTGTGCTTAATCAAATTTGCTACATCTATAATTGACATGCAACTTCAAATCATTTAGGATCTCTCATTGGACTTCATTATTGATTAAAAATTTTAAATTTTCATCTCTTTTGTTTCCATAAATATAAAAATACTTTAAATTTTTAGTCATCGATGAAAATGATGTATTTTGAAAAATCAAAATTCTTTTTTAAATATTCTTTAGCAAATTTTATTTTCCTTATTTTTCTCTGATTGATATATAGTTTATTAGGTAAATTATTTCTATCTAATATCTATTTATTATTATTTATTATCTATTTCTATCTATTATTATCTAAATATTCTTTTTATAATAAACTCTATTCTATTCTTAAATATTATTATAATATTTTTTTTTTTCAGCAATCAATTTTAAGACATTAATTTGCAAATTATTTTTAATTTTAATAATCCAATTATTTCAGTTCCTTATTCGATCTATTTTTTAATTTGTTTGAGACATAATTAAATTTTTTATATTAATTATTTAGTTTAACAAACTATTCAAAAAAATCATTCAAATTTATATGGTATACAGGATATACTAGTAAAGTTTATATAGAGTAAAAAAGCCTTAAAGCTAAATTTAATCTTTTTGGAAATATAATCATTTGTTTTATGTTAACATTATAATTAACTTACTATTTTTTCTATAGTTTTTCAATATTGCATAAACATATATTCTTCCATTTCCATTACGTTTGGCATCTTTTTTTTAAAGATCTATGAATTCTCTAGAAAATTTTAGATTTTAGAATCATTTAATAAGCGTATGGATTCAGTTTTGTTAAGTCATTTATTAATTAAAAATTGATACATTTCTGTGAACTTATAAAGAATGCAGAAAAAAACATTTAAAAAATAGTTATAAAGATTTATAAACATCGTATACGATACCAAAAATCAGTAATAAATCAATCATAATAACTAATATAATAATTAATAACAAAAAATAACAACACTAACAAAAAATAATTATATCAGAAACAGTTTTCGACTTATGCTTATTAAGGTTTTTTTTAAATATTCAATTGTATTGTATTTTCTTTTCTGTTAACTTCTATTAACTTTTTTCATTTTTTTAATGATAAATAATTACACTACAGTTTACAACTTCTGCAATTATATATTTCATTGTTTTATTATTTTTATTATTTTACTAATTCAAAATGCAAATATTTATTTAAAAAACATTTGAATAATATTTAGAACATAAGATATTCATTGCTAGACAAAAAAAATGATTTTTTTCTTCGATTTTTTCTATTATACCAACTTGTATAATTTTTAGTGATAGACAATTTCTGTACATTATTTATAAAGTTTATTATATTATTGTCGTAGTTATTTTAAATTTAAAAGTTTTATTTATAACAAATAAAATAATTTAAAATCATAAATCATAATATATTAATATATTTGTTTCCAAAATTTTAAACATACAATAATAATATTTTGCAAATATAAATTTAGTATGCGTAATGATGAATTTTAAGTGATACTCACTGTATGTTTAAAAATTATTAATTTATAAAATATTTTAATTTAAAATTTGTAAAATTTACAAACAATAAAGTATCGAGTATATTTTATAAATAATAAAATTAATCGTAATTATAATTTTATTTTGTTTTCCTATTTTTTAATATTTTTTAATAACAATAATAATAACAATCAGTATATTTTTATTATTTTATTTTATTTTTATACTTGTATTCAGAAAAGTAAAAATAGGTAATAGAATAAAAAAAGTAAAGTATATAAATAATGTTCTTTTATTTTTTTTCTCAATAACATTAAATCTACAATTGAAATTCGAAAAAATATAAAAAATTATCATCATCATAGATATAAAATTTCATTTTTAGAAGTATAACTATTGTAATTTCTTTTTAAATTACAAAAATTAAATAAAAGTGCTAAATATTAAAAAATTTTTTTATTTTTTTATCTAATACAATGTTTTATATATAAATTAATATCAATAATAATTTTGTGATTGATAGAAAAAAAAATCTTTTTTATTAATTATGATCTACATTTCTTTTTCCTTTTTTTAATATAAATTTCATTAATAATGTATTTATCTTAAGTGTATTTATTAATATTTTTTCAGTTTTCATCAAACTTAAAAATTTTTTTTTCACTGATACTTTATTCTGAGAAGTAAAGCTTTATAATTTTATTGCACATACAAATAGTATAATTTTCAATATAATTCTAACATTATCTCAATTTTATTGTTTACCATAAAGGGGAATGATAGAATTTTAAATCTAATCGACTGTGTTGATTGGTACCAACTACTTCTTGACTACATGAAGGCGAGGATTTCACATTTTTTTCAGTTTTCTCTGTTTCCCGTAAAATAGTAACTAGAGGACTTGGTTGATAATCGGATAAAGCAGGTGTTGGTACTGTTGACAATTCATTTGTGCGTTGTTTCTGTTCTTCTTCCGAATAAAGGCTCAGTGATCGTGGTCGTTCTGGTTTCAGTTGTATTGTAGCCAAAGTGCTCGATTTTTCACTGAAAAAATAACTTTCCATGAAAATATCATATTTATGGTAATGATATATATATATATATATATATATAATTATAATATAATTATAATTATTTCTATAATACATCTATATATGATCAAATTATATTAAAATAATTAATGAAATAAATATAGATCCTATTAATAATAAATATTAATAAACAAAAAATATTAAAACGAATAATTGAATATAATATTTTCTTTTTTTTTACATTCTTTTTTTAAATAAATTGTCATTCTTCATATAAAATGTTCCATATTAAATGTTTCAAATTGTTTTCTTCGATATTAGTATATATTCATCAACATAATTTTTTTAAAGTTATACAATTATGCAAATTAAAAGTTATACAAGATTCAATTAATAAAAATTTTGAAAATAAATTTCAAGAAATGGAGGAAATATTTTTTTCTTTTTTCAAATGAAATGAGATATTATTTTTTTTTTGTTATTTTTTAAATTATTATTAAACTTAATAATATTTATAATTAATAATATTTCAGTTTTTATGTTTATTTTGATCTATTTTCTATATAGTAAATTTTTTTCTTATATTCTTTTACATATATAGAGTATTCTTTAATATAAGTGATGCAAAAAGAAAAAATTTGTCAAATAAGTAACATTAGATTCAATGCTATCTAATAAAAAATTAATGTCATTTAATTTTAAAAAATAGAAGATTCTTTTTTAAAATATACTAAGATTCATTTCCAAAAATTTTTTTATTAACGATTTAATTCTTGTGTATCGTTCAATTCACAAAAAAACATATTATCAAAGAAACAATTTGTTAATTGTAATTATATGGAACATTTTGTGTATTCAAATAAAATAACGAAATATTTCTTAACAAAAATAAAAAATAAAATATCATGCATCATGGATGAAACTTTTGCAAGCGAAGTGAAAAAAAATTACTTACTCTGAAAATAAGAATAAAAGGAACGTGTTGCCATTGTGCAGAGGATTTTGGGAATATTGAACTGGTCTTTTTCATAGGAGTGGAATCGCTTAATATCTGTCAATGAAAAGGAAATAAATATAAAGTCCATGCAGCATATTTAATGAGCACACTTTAATCATCTATACAGATGTGAATGATCATTTAATACATATCATAATAAATAAATATAAATATATACATACATGCGCAAATTAATCTAACAAAAAATATGTTCAGCAAATTAACTATATCTGTATTTCAAAAACAAAATAATAGAATGAGTAAACCATTTTATTTAAGAATTAAATATTGAAAATCCTTTATAGAATTTTCAAAAATATTATAATTTTTATCTATCTATATACTATCATTACTTTAATATTTTAGTTATAATTTCTTTGGATTTCTATAAAGAATTTTCATTCTATGTTTTATGAAATATTTAATATTTATAATTTATAACCAATAAATTAAACAATATTAATATCATAGTCTGTTATAATTTTCTATATCATTCTTTTATATAAAAACAATTAATTTTTTATAGTTAAATAAATATTAAAATAAAAAATATCACATCAACATAAAAGTTTTCTAATTAGTAAAAGAAATATAATCAAATTGTTACATATATATATATATATATTTGTTATCTATAGAAAAAAAAATTATGTTTAAGTTAAATTTTGAGTCAATATTTAAAAATTTAAGCAAGAAAAAAGTTTAAGAAATATACATATAATGTTCGTTCAAATGTGTGCTGGAATAATATATATTCAGTGTAAAAATAATGAAGCTGTTTATGTATTATATATTACTGTGTTATTTACGTTTTTCTTAATCTTTATGGATCAACTTTAAATATTTTAAAATCTCAATGAACAAGTAATGTATGATTCATTATTTATTCATATATATATATATAGTAATGTATTACGTATATTATTATTGATACATTATATATATGTATATATAATATTAATAATAGATAATTATATATATATATACACATATTAATATAATATATAAATATATATGAAAAAATAATAGATATATTATCTTTTCATCCAAATTTTAAGATATTCAAAAGTGATCACTAATAATAAATATACAAAGAATATTCAAAAATTTATTAACCAGCATTTTTTTCATAAATTAAACAAAAAATCGTATAGTTTTGAAAATCATGATCATGCATATGAATGAATTTGTTTTGATATACATAACATAATTGTAACATTTAAAAAATTAAAAATCATCTTCATTTCTCGAAAAATATTGGAAATATAAAAAAATTGATATACATCATTATAGCTTATAGAAAATAAAAAAAATTTTTTCTTCTAACATTTTTTTCTAGTATTTATCTTTTACGAGAAAAATGCTAGTAAATCTCTGAACACTTGTATATAATAAATTCATATAATTAAATATATATATAATAAATTCAGTATTTAATAAATATTATGAATCTAGTATATCATTATCAATTATTACACATTTAAATCATCGACATAACATAAAATAATATTATTATTCATCTAGAATTATCTGAATACTGAAAAACTAATTAAAATTTCAATGTATTAGATGTCCAAGAGGACTTCTGCACATAGATAAAAAGAATTAATCACTAATTAATATTTGAATTAGATCCAATTTTTATCGTTCAACTATTTAAATGATTATTTTTTTATTTTACTTACCCAGTACGCTCGGCAGATGGACCAAGCACAGTAGTGTTATGGATTATCTAGAATCAAATAATTATGTGTTCTTAATTATGATATATGATATTCATAGAATATCCTTGGAGGATTGATTCTATCTAGACAAAAATTATTGTATATTATGTAAAAATGTCGATTAAAGTTCATTTATTAAATTATAAGCAATTTAAATTTATGTCTAAAATAATATAGAAATAAACTAAACAATGACAGAGATGACAAAATTTTACAGAAATATTTCACAAATATATTAAGTATGTATGTATATATATATATGTACTATATTGTGAATAATGATAAAATTTGGAATATTTCGAATCACTTCAAATCCATATTATATATCAAGTTATAAATTTTAATTTCTTAATTTTAAGAATTATTCTTAAATCTAAAAATTTTTGAAAGTTTTGAAAGTCCTGAAAATCTTAAAAGTTTTTATCGATTTAAAATTCTTAAGAGTTATTTTATGTCTTATAATTATATATTTTTCAATATTAGTAGACTTGAATCAAAATTACATAATGATTTATATATATAATCATTTTAGACATTGATTAATTCTTGAAAACAATATAAGACTGAAAAGTAAATAACATAAGTGAGACAAAACTTTCAAAAATTTCGAATTTTCAAGATGCAAAAGATTTTTAAAAATTTTGAAAATTCAAATTATATTTATGATTCGAATTTTCTATCATTTTACAAATTTAAAATAATTCGAACTATTTCAAATTCTATTTTTAATTATAAACAGTATTATTATAAATATTAAAAAATGCATTTACAAGAAAGTTTTTTTAGATGTTTAATTATTTTAAAACAAATGAAGTTATTATACATAATTAAAAATTATAATACTCTATCTTTTAATATTTGAAATGAATACTACTTGTTCAAAAAATTTAATATCGACTAAAAAATCGATTAAAGTCCGCTATAAACAGTTAAAATGGAAAATGGATAATATGTATAAATGTAATATTTTTTACTTATAAAATTTATTTTAATTATTAAAAAATAGAATACTATAATTTTCAACCATTATTTTTTTAAAATTAATTGATCATTTGAAAAAATCTACTTATTAATATTTCTTATTAAATTGGCAAGTCATACTTATAAAAATATTATTAAGTAAAATATTATGATTTATCTAAGGTTATTTAAAATTATTTTAAATACTAATCTTAATAAATTAATATAAAATATTTAATTTATACGTATCCGTATTTAATGAAAAATTTATATATGTACTTTCAACATTATATTTTATTATATAAATTAAATTAAAGTATAATATAATATATCGCATTTGATGATTATCGATTTTTTTATCGATCGTACTTACATTGGCCATGGAACAAGGCGGTCGTGCTGCGGCATATCTACCAAATGAAGTGCGAGAAATAGAGGAAGAGTAAGAAACACCATTCAAACTGAAACCAAAAATCAATTTGATTTTTTGCTAAAATAATAATAATTGTATTGTATTAATTAAAGATATTTTGAGAATCATAAAATTTATTATTTAATATAAGATATTAATTTAAAATATTCTTTACTTACTATTATCATAATATATATCTATTATCTTCTAATTATCTTTCTAATTAAGTATCATAAATAACAATTTATGTACCTAGAATTACTCTTTGCAATGTTATTATGTATGGCGTTCGATGTACCGATATCAATTGAATTTTTTGAGGGCAAGCTGTATCTATTAGTTCTCACATCCTGATGTTCTGTAAAATATAAAACAAACATTATTACACAAACAATATTACATATACATAAACAAAATTATGCAAAAATCTAAAAATTTCATAAAATTTAAATTATTTTCATATTAAATAATAATCACAATTCCTTTCCTTTATGTATATAAAAATCTTTTCTACTCTATTTTGGATTATATATATATATATCATAATATCATATATTATATATATCATAACCTTTTATGTTCCTTTGTTCCCTCATATTTTATTAATTTTTATAATTTAAATCTATTTTCAATAATATCTTTATTAATCTTTAATAATCTGGTTCTATTTTTAGTAATTATAAATTAATTTTTGCTAATAAAATAATTTAATAAAAATAGTTTAATACTAATAAAATATTAATAAAAATAGTATAAAAAGTAATAAAATAATTATTTTATTAATAAAAATAAAAAACAACAGGAACTTAATAATTTTATAATTTTAATTTTAATAAAAATAAGCAGAATATTAAATTATATGTAAGTATTTTTTAAATTAAAATTTAAAATTCTTCAATAGAATAATATTATTATTACTATCAATTAATACTTTAATTTATAATTTCTGATTATTTCCATATTATACAATTTAAAATCAAATCAATTTTATATTAGAAATTATCTTATGTCAAAAAAATTGGATCAATTCGATTATAATCAATAGAATCTCAATTCAACGAATTTATCACTAAAGGACAGCTTTGAATCGATCAAAAGATTTACATAATAAGATCATTACATAGAATGACATTGACCGGAATTTTATATCTCTCTAAGTAAGAATTACCGATTTAGGACATCTACTTGAAGAGCGAAATATAAGACGAAACTGATTTTTGTTATTATTGCTTGAAATCAAACAATGGATTCATAGATTATTCTATAAATATTATTTTTATAGAGATGCTTTGAAGATGATTAAATTTTTAAATTATTAGAAATTGTACTCATATTGTTTTGTATATATAAATTAATATATTAAGATTTTTATAAATAAAAATAAACAATTTTATAAAAATATATAATTATAATTATCTTTTTGTAAGAAATCTATTTTTTTTATATAATGATTTTATATGAAATTTATGATTGATATGAAATTTATATAAATAAATTTATATAATAATATATAATTTTTACAATTTTTATAATAATGAAATAGAAATTATATTAAAATACAATTTCTACATTTCTTTACTCGCATTAAATCGTATAAGATATCGTACATATAGGAAAATTTTTAAAGTTCTTTCAAATATATTATAAATAATTATAATATAATATAAATATAATGTAAATAATTAATTGGACAGTATAAATTCTATTTTTATGTATTTTTATCTATCTTCTATTCTCAGCGACTTAACTTTTATTCTACTTTATCTTTATTTTCTTGTAATCTATATTTGAATTTTTTGTAAATATACATGTATAATAATAAATGTAACATAAAACTTATATTTTTTAATTTTAACATTCTTCATGAAATTGCATTTATATAATAATTAAATAATAACCGTATAGATAACTCTTTCTTGTATAAAAATTAAAATACATAAAAATAACAATCATTTACATATAGTGTGAAATTTATTATATAAAAGAAAAAGAATATACAAAATGATATTCTTTTGTTTATACTTTTTTCTTATCTATGATAGGATAAATTTTATAAAATTCAAGTTAAAATATCTTTTAATAAATTTTTATTATAAATGACTTAATAATTTTTTATAAGAAATAATTTATATTGCTTAATTTACTAAAAAATATATGATTTTATTTATAAAAAAAAATTTAATCTTTATATATCTTCTAAATATTATTTTTATTAACAAAAAAATTAATAATGCTATATATTTTATGTATTATTATATGTATATTATATTCTCTTTTACAACATATATATAATTTACAAAAAATGTCCAATCAATATAGATCTTACAATTATATTCTTTTGATATAAAATTATTTTTATTATCGATGAACATTTAATATCAAAAGATTCTTTTGATATTAGATAAAGATTTCTTAATACATATACACAAAAAATTGATCTAGGATAATATTAACTCAAGCTGTTTAACATAATTAATAATATTATATTATATATAATATATATAAAAGGATAGAAAATGTCGTATACTTCATTTTAACAAAATCATTTTACTAATTACAAAGTTTGCACTATAAAAATAGAGAAAGAGATTATTTTTAATATATAATATAGAAAAAGATTATTTTCAACAATTAGAATTCTAAGATTATTCTAAATTCCAAAATCGAGCAAATAAATAATATTAATCAAAATAAGCGTACTAACTTAACATATAACAAAATAACAATAATAATAACAAAATCTATGAAGCTATAAAACTAAATATAAATCAAACATTTAAACGAATAAAAACAAATATATAAGTAGCATAGAAAAATTGAAAAAATTAATAGAAAATCTAACCAACTAAATGTTAATTATGTTAAATTTATTAACAAAACTTGTAATATTGCAGAAACAAAATTCAAAATAATGCAATGCAATAACAGTTAATAAATAAAATTTAGCCGAAAAAATACTATTAAATTATAAACATATAAATATTATTGCTGTTGTAGAAATATGAGATAAATAAATCACATTTAAAAATTCTAAACTATAAATATTACGACACTTTCAAGTGGCAGAGGAATAGAATGAATAGCTATTTATATTAAGAAAAAATTTAAGTATTCACAAATAAAATCATATTAAATGCAAAAAAATACAAAAGATTATTATCAATGATAAATTGAATATTTTTATAGTATAAATATTTTATCAATTTATTTATTATCCATTAAAACAAGCGATAAAAGAAAAAGAATACGAAAAATTCTTCAAATCAATTAATATGAAATTTGAAATATTGAATGATTTCAATGTAAAACACAGTCATTGAGGTTCTAGGATCATAATCGTAAAGGTTATACTATATAATTAAAAATCAATTAAAAGTATCCTCTTCTGGAAAACCTATAACATATTGGCTTATGGGCATAAATAAAACTTAATTTATTAGATATCGCAATTGCCAATATTGATCTATCACAGTAAAAGAATTATTTGATTTGTTCTTGAATCTTTTACGATCTTTAAATTTGACCAAAAAATTGTAACAGATATAAAACATTCACGAATATTACATTCACAAACTACAAATTCATTAACAATAATCGAAATTATAAAATATCTAAAAGATGTATAAAAATTAAAAAGAAAATTCAAAATATAAACATTAACTTTAATAATTTTATCAAAAATTTGAACAAATAATTGTAGAAATAATAGATTATTAACTGTGAAAATAAAAAGATTCAAAAAGTTAACAATTCCTATACCTCCAATCTCGGACTAAATCTGAAAATCAAATAAAAATTATGACAAAAATTATTACCTGTAAAAAATCTTCAAAAACAGACTACAAATTCCATTAAACGATAGTATTATTATTCTATATATATATAAAATCTATATAAAATCATAAAATAATAAAAAAAGAAGAAATATATGCTATTATAAAAAAATTAAAAAATAATAAAACATCAAGATATGATCTTATAATAAAAATGCTAAAGAAAAAAAAACTAAGATATTTTTTTTAACCATACTATTCAAAGATATAAAATAGCATATTTCCAACAGATCTGAAAATGCGCAAAAGTAATATTATTGCAGAAACGTAGAACAAATCTTCATATAGACTTATATCCTTTTAAATTTTTTATTAAATTTTTTATTCATTGTTGAATTGAAAGTTAAATAAAAATATTTTTGAAATTTTTGTATTAGAAAAATGATTTAAAGAATAAATAATAAAATTTAAACAACTTATTTAAAAACTGTCTATTTACTGATTTTAATGTTTTTGAAATATTATTAAAAATATCATTAATAAATGTTGTTAAAGATATGAAAAAAAATATCCAAATTCAAAAAATTTTTAAATTTAGAATATGTAGTGCATATAGAAATATGTATTATGCAATTTTTTTTACTACCAAATTTATTCTAAACAAAATTGATTCATAAAAATTCAACTATTTTTCGGTTATAATTCCCAATTTAATATAAATTATAATTCAGTTTGTAAAAATTGTAAAAAAATAAAAAAAAAAGTTTTCAGAGTTCAACAATTATTTCTTTAATGTTTCTTTTATCGTTTAATAAAAGATGTCAATTATTTATGTAATTAGAAAAAAGTTATACAAAAAAATGTCCCAAAAATGTAACAATTCAATTCAAGATTTCTGAAATAATATTTTTCTTTGCAAAAATATTTTTTTTTTTACTTTTGTTAACGAATTATTAACAAAAAACACTGATTATGGAATGCGTAGTCAAGTCGGTAGCGTTGATTATATATGCCACCGATCGAACATGAACAAGTCCAAATAATATATGTCAAAAAAAGTATATTGAATATAACAAATATTTTTTTATCGATAAAATTATATCACGAATAATGAATAAAGTAAAATATTCAACACATTTTTTTCGACATATATTGTTTAAACTTGTTTATATTTGATAACATATAACGGATGCTATCATCGCAACCATTCGACTATAATATTAATAATTCATTAACAATTCATAAGATTTTGCAAAGAAAAATGTATTGCTTGAAATTATTTTAGGAATCTTCAATTGATGAATGTTTTCACATTTTTGAAAGATATATATAATTTTTTTTAATTCATTCTTTTACACGAAATCATAAGCAATAATTTCAATAATTTTAACAACATAAATAAACAAATATTTTTTTTTCATTTCAAATATTAGCTTCATTGTTTTTTATTTCGCAATAACTTAGAAGAATCATGTGTACAATAATATTTTTTTCAGTCATGTAATATTCGCCACTTCTGGAAAATTAACTAAAAAATTGTTTAATGAATGATTAATGTATATCTATCAATTTCAAAATGTTTTGTTATTGGATCTATGAATTATCTATCATTATAAAATAGTGTATCATTTAATTAACATATTGAATAATATATTAATATATTGAAATATTTACAATTACAGGAATGATATCATTTAATATATACAATTTCTACATATGGAAAAAAACTTCGAAAATTTTATAATCTTGTAATATTATACAATGATTTACATAGATGGAATGTCATTAAATTATAATAGTTTTTATTCATAATCAATTTTCATCACGAAAATATTACGAGATATTTGCTTATGTTATAAGCTCAATAGATTGCTTTTTTATAAAATTTCGTACATCTGTTTCCATATGCGATAATCATATTATCATATCATATGTTGTACATGATATAATAAATTTCTGTTTTAAATATTTCTTTGAATTTCATTACTACAAAAAATATATTATATGTTTTCAAAATTATTTGATATAATCATAAATAGAATTGCTTATTATATCTTTTACGTGATTTCATTTATTTCATGAAAAAATTCGATAATTATATTTAAAAGTTCTAATAAAAATAATTCTGTTAAAGTTCTCTTTCATTTTCTTTTTTTCCATTTTCATTACATTCAATACATAATATAAATTATTTTATCATTATAACTATTAAAAAAAAATTGCTAGTCATATAGTAACATATAGTGAGAGTCAAAAATAAGTACATCCTATATATATGAAATTCTATATTATTTATTTATTTTTTATATATTTATATATATATGGCATTTATATATGCCACAAAAACCAAAATTGTAATATTGTATTTGTAATATCACAATCGTATATAAACACATATGCAATAGTTAATCCGTTATGAAAGATAGTTATGAAGGATAATGTGGTTTTTTAATTTTTGAATAAACGTGAATTTATGTAAATTTTTATTAGTATTGATTAATTTGAAATATTCAGTACATAAATAAAATTATAAATGAAAAACATATAGAAACTTTAAAAGAAATGAGGAAACTTATTGTTAAATTAAGAAATGAAAGAAAATCATTTCGAAAAATAGAAAAAATAAAAATTACTATAGAATTAATAAATGGAATAAGAAAAATCATGGACAAGTATAAAATACAAAAAATATAAAAAACTTTTCTCATTTCGATCATCCGAAAAAGTTAAATAAAATTATACGAATAATAAAGAAATTCCCATTCTGAGTGGAGTTTCATTAGCTTATGAAATATCAGGAATGTAACAAAAATCTGTATATGTAAGTATTTGTAAATCATTAAATTCTCAAGGTATGCATGACCGTATTCCACACAAAAAATTAGTAATAGTACAAAGAATCGGTTGCGATTGCAATTCGCAGAAAAATTCATGAACAAATTACTTGAATTTTGGAACACTATGTATTCACTGATAAAAGTAAATTTTTGCAAAAAAAAAAATGCAAAAAATAAATACGGAATTAAAAAAATCTTATTAGTACCGTCAAGCATGGCGGAGGTAATATGGTTTGAGATAGCATGAGAGCCTCTGAAATTGAGAAATTAACTTTTATTAACAATACGATGAATAAATTTCAATATCTAAATATTTTAAGAACAAATTTAATTGCAAGTGTTACAAAGTGTTCAATTGTCAGATTCGTGAATCTTTCAGCAAGATCAAAATCTTAAATATACAGCAAAGATCGTTAAGGATTGGTTGCAATAAAATGCTCCAAATTTTCCATCATAATATCCAGATTTTAATATAATAGAGAAATTGTAAAAAATATTAGATTTGAAATTATGCAAAATAAAAATTACAAATAAGGAAAACCTTAAAATCGAACTACTAAAAATATGGAATAATATTTCTGTTTCAACAATATATAAGTTGATTGATTCAATGCGGTTAGCTGTGGTAATTAAAATTAAAGATAAACCAACAAAGTAATAAATTTTATTAATAAATGGAATAAATCATTCTTAATTATATTTAATCATTCTAATTATATTTATATTCACTTTTAATTTATATTTTTATAGATCCTCAGCTACTTTATGTTATTTAATTATATTTTATATCTCAAATATCATTTATTAGATTAAATTATGTGTTTTACTTTTAATTCCTATCACTTTATACTTTACGTTTTTCAAATAACTTTTTCTTAATATAACATATATGTAATAATTGTTAAATAAATACTGTATTCTCAAATGTTAAAGTCAAATATATATTCACTTTTCACTCTTATTACATACAATCCAGAAATTCTATATTGTCATGAACCAAATATGATACAATAAAGCTTACATTTAAAATAAAAAAATATTAATTTTTTATTCTATTTTATAATTATTAATTAAAATTTTTTGTGAAAAAAAATTATAAATTTTTTGAGAATTTTTGAGAAACGATAATCATTAAAAAGACAATTTTTGTTTGAAAAATTTTTTTTCTATCGTATAGTTTGCGAATTATAACACAATATTGAAAAATAGTCAAATTTGGACAACAAAAAAAAATATATAATACATATCTATATGCATTATTTATATTATATTATTTATATTCCCAAAGTTTCAAAATTTTTTTAAATTGCAAGTTGGAGATCTTTTCTTATGAGTAACACTTTTTTTTATACATTTCGCGATTGATTTTAACTATTTCGCGATTGATTTTAGTTTTTAAGTTATTTACAAAAAATTCAAAGATAATATTACATTATATTGGATTTTATGTAATATTGAATTCACGGTATATACAATATGCACAAAAAATAAAGTTTTCAATCTTTAGACATTAAGTAAATAAATTTTTCTATTTTGATATAGATAATCGCCTTAAAACTGCCATTTTAATTTAGATAATTGAAACTAATTCATAAAAAAATGAAATAGAAGTTTTTTTCATTTGTCTTAGATTTTTTCAAATGACAAAATATTAATAAATATCATATTTGTATAATGGATATATAATAGATATCGATCCATTATAGAAATATATGTAAATTCAATAAAACTGTTCAAACAATTATTATGTAAAAATATTATTGCTAAAATTATAAAAATATTATTTATTCTTTTTGTAAAATATTTGCCAATAAATATAGTTCTAACAATGTTTATAATGTTTAATAATAACTTTAGGAATTTAAAGAAGATTGAGAATAAAAAAAAAAAAACTTACCGTCATCAAAAAATCCTTGAAAAACGACAAATTTGTTGTTCTGCGGAATAATCTTCGTGAGAGCATAATGTTTACTTAAAAAAGCTAAAAATTTCTCTGAAGGTCTATCGATTGCTAATTTCACCGGTCTAATATTCTCTTCCTGAAAATTAAAAATAGCATTAAGTTTATTAATATGAAATTATTTCTAATTATTAAAATTAATTTAATATAAACATAAAAAATAGAATAATTCATTTTTTCAATAATCATTCATTTTTCATTTTTTTTTATAAGATGCTTAAATAAATGAATTTGCTGAAAAATTTAAATGAATTCATTTTTTTAAGTTATTTTCGTAAAATTCATGCATAATGAAGTTTTATCATTATTTCTATCTAAGATGATCGATTAATTTGCTATCATTATCTAAACATTACTACTTCTTATCAAATCAAAACAAATCAACGTTTTAAGCAAGTAAATATTTTCATTTAATGTTAGATGGGCATACCATTTTTAATATTCTTATATATTATATAAATACAAAATAGTTATTATTTAAAAATTAATTGAAATTAGTTATTTAGATAATTTCCTATTTCATATTTTATTTAAACAGTTTTATAATAAAAATATTGTATTTTAGAAAATATAATGTATAATATAATATATATTGTTATATTTATATATAATATAATAAAAAAATAAGAAAAATAAAAATTATAATATATTTAATATTTCATTTTAACGTCATTTATCTAATTTTATTTTCTGACTTTTTTTAAATTTCAGTAAATAAATAAATAGATTATGAATTGTTTAAATATTTTTTGAACATTATGAATATTTCTTGAATTTATGATTGAAAAAAAAATTAAAATTTATAAATTTCAATTTAAAATAAAAATAAAAAATAAAGAAGTAATATTAGAAGTTATATTAAAGTAATATTAAAATAATATTAAAAAAATATTAAAAAAATATATTAATAAAATATAAAATATATAATTATATAGCTAATTAACTGAAATTTGAAGGAATTAGTAAAAGAAAGACAATAAATCTTTAAAAAAAATCTTATATAAAATTTAAGTTTTACATATTTTATTATCAAGATATTAATGATTTTAATGAAATTAATTTTAATGATATTAATGAAAATTTGTAATAGCATACAATAAATTTTAGATATCAGACATGACTAATATAATTGTTTTCGTAGAAGTCAATAGCCGATCTATTTCATATCCTCAATTGCTATTATGGAGAATTGCAAATAGTAAAAGCGATTCCCTTATAAAGACCATTTTTAAATTAATCCATTAATTATTATGGTTTTCAAAATGTGCCCAAAGTAATAATAATTGTAATAATGTAATAATACATTTATACGCAATATGTTTTTATCTGCATTTTTTCGAGATATCATACGATATTATTTCATAAATCAAATATGTTTAATATTTTAAGAATGAATGATTAAAAATTTGTGAATTATAAATGGGATATTGTATAGATATTAAAGTCGATATAAAGAAACATTTACAACTCAAAATAAAAATTATATCACCAAACATGATTATAATAAATTGTTATGTTATTAATTATAATTACAATAAATTATTGTATTAATAGTATCTGGATGACAATGTATTAGTAATATCTGCAGCTTTCAATATATAAATTTTTCATAAATATTTGAAAAACTAATAAATATCCGAAGCTAAGATTTTAGATTTTATTTTCTTCTCTGTTTACTTTTTTTTAATTTCTTTTTTAATTTTGATAATTTCATCAATAAACTTCGATTCAATCACAAAACTGAGGACATTTTACAAGAAATTAAGGAAAATAAATATCGATTGGTGAACATAGAAGAAACAGATTATATAAACACTTAAAGAGATGTGATAGAAAAAAAAAGCCAGCCATTATTTTGTTTAAGAATGGAGTTCATATTCAATTGCAATATTTTGGTCTGTGCACTGTTTCACGAAAAAATAAGAAATATCATTGTTATATATTATTTAAAATTATTAAAAATCAAAAATGATATAAAATAAAATATTTCATTTTATAATATATAAGATTTAAATATATATTTTAATATTATAATTATAAATTATAATATATAAGAAAATATAAAATTATGATATTATATTAATAATGATAAAAATTAATAATGATAAATAAATAAAATTTTCTAAGAAATGCTAAAATTTAACAATTTTTTTATAGATCTTTTATGGGAAATTCACATGTTAAAAATTCAGTTAGTCAAATACATTTAAACTAACTTTAAAATTGTAAAATAGATTTTTTATGAAAAAATCTTGAACATACTGAATAATATAAGGAAGAATATCTAATATACTTAATAAAAATTTGATTTCAGATTAATATCTATCGTTGGTCTAAAATATATTATTTATATTAGATAATAATAATATATATAACATATTTAATTATTGAATGTCTTTTATCTATCTTATCTTTTTTTATTCTCAAAAATGCATGTAAAATACTTTGTAATTAATATTAATTTAAATCTTTTATAAAATAATAAAAAAATATTTTTCTGCTAGTAATATAAAATAAATTCTATATGTAGAATGTTCTAAATCGAATTAACAAGCTTTAATTATGAACCGCATAACTATGAAAAAATACCGCATCTGGAAAATCATATTAATTGAATACGATATAATTAATTTAACATAAATAAATAAAATATTGAATGAATAGTAATAAATATAAAATAAGAAAATTTTTTAATTTTTTTATTTTTTTTCCTCTTTATTTTTTTTGTCACAATTTTTTCAATATTGACAACAATTAATAAAGTAAAATATTTATCCTAAAAAAATTTGAGTTTCTTTAATATATTAATAATTTTCAATATGATTAAAATAATATGTATATCCGTATCATATATGTATATATATGATAACGTATTTATCTCTTATTAAATATAATTTGATAAGATATTAAATTATTTTTCTTATTTATTATATTTTTATTTCACCAACAATGTGTCATCACAAATGAAAAATGAATTTTTTTTATTTGTATTAAAAAAATTTTAATTCTATTGCGATTCTGAAACTATTATTTAACTTTTTTATTAAGAACTATTTATTTTAAAGCCATAGATTCTAAAATTATCATAAATTACTCATATATCATAATATCTCATGCTAAATTAAAATATTATTTTTATTATTAACCATTATTAGTCTTAAATGTAATCTTTATCCTTCTTTTTTATATTCTTCTTAAAATACTAAATTTTATATATGAGATTCCATATGAGATTGAAACCATTCATTTTATATGCATTAATTGGAACAGTTGCATAACCACTTACGGAAAGCATATGCTGATAGAGAATATTTCCAAGGCCCATGCGCTGCCGTGATTCATGAATATAAAAGTCCAGAATGCATCTAGGTTTTAACTGATAATGAGCGCCAGTCTCGTCGAACATAAAGAGATTTTTCGATCCAGTTTTTAACAGTCCCACCACACTGCCTAGTCCACTGTAAAATCATAGCAAGTTTGTAATATTATGCAATGATGATTCATGATTGTGGTTCATACGAGATTCGCATTGTTATATATAGAGCGGAATCAAAATTTGGGATATGCTTTGCTATGTTTGATTAATAATAAAGGTAAAAATTAATTTATCATATCACTGTATTGAAATTTTTTCTAGTATATGAAATTTTTGCAATATATGAAATTTTTTTAAGGAAAAGAAAATATTGAAAATAATAAGATTTAATAAAATAAAATTTTTTATTTTGCTATTCCCAAAATAAAAGATAAAAAAAGGAAAATTAAATAAAATTTTTTTAATCTTTTGATAATTATTAGATAATTATTATTATATAAGATAAAATAATTAATAATTCCAGGATTTTTTTACTAGACAAAGAATCATATTTATATAGTTACATCATATTTAAATAATTTTGAACAATCTTTAATCAAATTAAAATTTGTTTATAATTGATTTATATTTATATATATAATTTGTTAGAAAATTCCAAAATTCCAAGAAATGAAATAATAAAGAAATGTAAAAAATATTATATAAAAGAAAAAAATTTTAAGAAAAATAAAAAATAAATTAGAAAAAATGAAAACATGTTACGAAAATACTTGATCTTTTAACAATTTTGAAAACATTCAAAAAATAAAAAATAAATAAGATAGTTATATTTTTCCTTTAAAACCATTAAACTTTTGAATTTAATATTCTTTCAAAAATTTTATTATTTTCGAAATATTATAAAAATTATAAAAATTATAAATATTATAAAAATAAATATCCTATATGTATATCTACATTTAATGATAATAGTTCTTAGTATAAACAAAATGTTAATTATTAAATACTTTTAATTTTCAATTAATTTGAAAATGATGTATTTCAATAGAGTATCAAATAGAGTTTTATTTTTAGTATCAATTAAAAGAGATTGGAATAATATTTACTAATATTTTAACTTTGGAACATGATTATATTTAGAAATTATATATTTAGAAATTATTACATATATTAACATTAAAATTCTTATACAAAAATATTACATTCTTATTTAATATTATTGAGTTATAATAGTTGTATTGTATATCAAGTAATATTAATATTGTATTGTATATCAAATAAATTAATTATTAATAAGAAAAGAAAAATAGAAAAATCTTACAACTATCTTTAACTTAACTATTAATTAAATAATTATTATTTATTAACTGCGACTGACGCAGTTAAAGAATTAAATTTATATATAAGTTTTTAATTATAATTATTTATAATTTTTTTATATATAAAAAATTAAAAATAATTAAAAATTATTTTATATTATGATAAGTATTATGATATAAATATTTTTTCATATACTTTTCATAATAAACTTGCATTCAATATATTAAATAAATTTTTCATTTGATAAAATTAAAAAAATTATATTTATATTCTTTTATTTTCTTTATCAAATTTTCTCTATTAACTCTATAATATATAATCTTGACTATCAATGTTATAATCTCTGTGTTTTTGAATTAAATTTTGACTAATTAAACAAAATTGCTGAATAATAATTAATATTATATTAAAAAAGATATATATTAAATATTAAAGATAAAAAAAGCAATTACTTGCAAAGACAATATTTATTTTATAATTTTATAATTTCATAATTTTAAATCAATAAAAAAGTTATTTTAGATTATATAAAAGTTATTTTCTTATATAAAATTATATTATATATTTATTATATATATATTGTGTATCTATATAATTTAATAAAAATTATAAGTATTTTAAATATCATTTTTCATGATATATTTAAAATTTATATTAATATCTATTATATTTTGAAATTTAATGTTATTTGTTTGTTAATGTTTTTTTATATTTAATGTTACAGGATTTTGAATGAAAGGATTTTGTTTGAATAAGAAAGCTGAATTCTTTTAGAAGAGACATCTCATATATTGATCGTTCAACCATTTTATATACTATGAATTTCCTATTCTGGGAAATGTAATAGTTCCTTTCTGGCTGCTTCTTTGAATAAATTGCGCTTTCTATGAGGATCTTGGTTTATCCACACTTTTATAATAAATAATTAGAATAATAATTAGATAGAATTTATCTACACGAATATTTTACATTTCTTAAAAAATATATTCTTTTATTCAATAGATAATAACATTTTTCAATTGAATTATTTTATATTATTTTAGTTTATATATTATTATTTATTTTTCTTTATCAAGATTAACTTTTTTCTTAAATCGCGTTTTCCAAATTTTTTTTAATTATATCCCATTTCATCATCATTTTGATGTATGTTATAATAGAATTTATATAATAGAAAGAGGAGGAGGGGATAGGGAGGGAGAGGAGGTGGTTTATATCAAAAAAATCATGAAATATAATTTTCAAAACAGAAGCTGATACAAAATAAAATGTTTGTTCCAATTAGATTAACAAAAAATAGTAAATAATAGAAATTTAAAAAAAACTTACTTATTAGCTTCATTATCCATTAATAAATAAACTATATGATCTGTATCTCGAAGTTTTAAGGCGCTGGTTATTGGCTTATTCAGACCTTGAGCCCTAGCAGAAGCCTCACCCATATCATCAAGAATCTTGCTCAGTTGTCTCTGACATTCGCTAAAATAAGAAAATTTTTTATTAATCAAAGAATTTACAATTTTCACTTGATATATAAAAAGCAGCATAATAATAGCTGCTTCAAATAAAAATAAATTACATATATACAGTAATTTTGTAATGTTGCAAAAATTATATATTGATTATATATATAAGCAATAGAAATGAAAATATTAAATATTACATATTAAATATAGCAAACATTAATTACATGAATTCAAAATTTAGTTTACAAGCATTAAAAATTATAAAATTGAAAGACATATTAAAGCTTTTTAAAAATATGTTAGAAAAAATGATATGTGATTTTATTTGTTAAATATAGTAAAAATAATAAAAATAGTAAAAATAGAAGACAGATTTAGATAATTTTTAAGAAATGAATATACATAATTTCAATATAATATTATAATACTATATTTTCATTTATATGATTAAAATTATTACATTACCTAAATAATATCTATATATTCAGGTATTAATAAAACCTAAAAAATAAATTAATTGTTGATAATTTTCTTTAAAAGCAAAAAGAGATATCATTATATTTAATATTAAATATTAAGTATTATATTAAATATTTTTTGACGAAAGAAAAATGAATTATTTGTTTTTAATAATTTAATCGCAATTTTAGAATTATTTATTTCAACTTTCATAAATTGTAAAGTGCGGTTTACAATTTAAATAGTACGAAACAACTGCTCCACTTTTAACTTTTTTTTCTTTTCTTCTTTTTCTTCGTATATAATTATAGAATTTAAAAATTATTATTCTTTTTTTTATGATTCTTTCCTTTGTTAAGATTTACGATAATATATATTAAAACATTAAGATATAACAAATTTAATTTAAAATATATTATATTTTGTTATAATATCAGACAGAAAATTGGTAAAATTTTTTATATATTTATTTCAATTGAAGTAATAAAAAATTTACTAAATTTCTAAATTTACTAAAAAAGTCCTGAGATATTAATAAAAAAGTCCTTTTTTTATAACTTATAATTATATAAAATAATACAAATTAAAACACTTGTGTTGGTTGAAACTTAGAAATGAAATTCAATATATAATAATATATATTTAAATATATTCATTTATGATAATTATGAAGACAAAATAATAAATAAAATAAAATATTTAATATATAATATTTAAAAATAATTTTTCTAAATTTTTATGTTTATTTTAATTACATTTACATTTTTCAATTTTTTATTTTGAGATTATAATAAAATTATTAACTAAAAATCTATTAATTTTAATTTAATTTAATTTAATTAAATGTTCATTAAGAGAGATTAAGATATTTCAAACGAATTAAAATTCATGAAATAATTTTAATTGAATCATTAAATATATACATATGTGTAAAATTTAATATAATAAAAACAAAATTTTTTTCAAATATCTCAAAAACTAAAATCAAAAATTAAAGCCAATTACATGTAACAGCTCAGAAATTAAATTTGTCGTATATATATATGCTATCGATCGTAAATATATGTGGAAAAGACAATTTAATAGTTGAAAATAGATAGTCAGAGAGAGGATAATTGAGATAGCTATTTAGATATTATTTATTATGTAGATATTAATTAAATAGATATTGAGTAAAATTGCAAAAAAAGGCTTTCTATTTTTTTTATTTCGATATTTTATAAATATTATAGATGATAATATTTTAAATAACTTTTTCCTATATATTTAACTAGTCAATCTTAATCTTTCAAGAAATATTTTTTTAAAATAATTATATAGTTCATTAATTAACAATATAATATATGGAAACCATTTTTTGAAATTATTATGAATTAATATGCTATAAATTTTTCTTCTACTTCTAATATGTATGGATTATATAGATTACGTTATATATACATATGGCGTTATACACTAATTCTCAACTTTTTTTCTAAAATTTCTATGATATATTATAAATTTTAATTGTAATTTTAATATAAATTTTAATAATAATATTCAATACATAGAGAAGAAAGTAAAAATATGACATTCATTTTATTTTTTGATATTATTAATAAAATTAATAAATAAAAAAATAAAAAAAGTTTGAAAAATTTCATAATTTCATAAAATATGTTACACAAATATAAATGATTTTAAAACTTTTAATTTTTTTTATTTTATCTAAATATAGGTAAAATATTTGATTTGAATAGTAACATAAGGTACTATTATTATTTTTGAACGAAACAGGTTATAAAATTAAAGTATTAACAAAAAAATTTTATTAATATAGTATAATAAATAGTATTAAATAGTATTAAATAGTATTAAATATAGTATTAAATATAATAAATCAATCACAATTAGATGAATAATTTATTTTGTTTTGCAATATAAATTCTTGGATTCCCGGATTCGTATAATTATAATATATCCATAATTAGTAAATATATATGATGAACGATATATTTCTATAATTCGTTAAAATATTCGAAAAATTTTAATTATATTGTTATCAGTTAAGTATTTTTTCAATTTATATATATTTTTATCAATTTACTATTTTTTTTTTATCATATCATAATCAAAAATAGAAACTTCAAATTTTTATTAATATATTAAAACTGCGATTATTATAATATGATTTATACTTTCTATTTATTTAAAAATAAACTAAACTAATTTCATTTTAATAAAATTTTTTTATTACAATTGAAATATAAAAATTAAATAAAAAATTAAACAAAAAAAATAACTATCAATAACAATTGAGAGACATTTTAGTCGTCATAATACTTAAAATATGTATAATCATTGTTAAAATTATTGATATTATATATTAATTAAAATCTTAATCTATATTTTTATTTCATATTCATATTCAAATTCATCAAAATGTATATATTTTTAAAATATAAAATATATATATACATATATAAATATATATATATATACATGTACATATACTTTTGAACAATATATTTTTAAGAAAAAAGTTTCCATATAAGACGATTAATATTGATTTTTAAATAGAGATCATTTCAACAGTTATTTTTAAATAAATTTTAGATATTTAATAATTATATTTAATAATATTTAGTAGTTTAATATATTTATCGCGCGCACGTGTGTTTGTGTGTGTGTGATGAATGATATATATTGATGAATATATATTGATGAATCAAATATCATTGTTAATTTTCTATCTTTCTATTTTTTTAAGTTTATCAAATATCACTATTACTTATATATTATATTTTTTTTGTTTTAACGTCTAATAAAATATGTCAGTAAAATATGTTTCCACAACTTCTCTTCTTTCAAATATGGTTCATAAATCGATTACATAATGATTATACATCGACGCTTCTAAATTAGTATCTGAGTCACTGAGAATCGACTGCGTTCCACGTATTCTTAAATTCAGAAATATTGCACGAAGAATTTCACATTCAATGATCAGTAAATAAAGGATAAATAGCAAGTTAAAATAATAATAACTATGATATCAATGTTTATATATATATTATATATATATCTACAGTATACTTACAAGTTATTTTTATTATTACTATTATTACTATATTATTATCATATAAATCAACTTTTATTTATGTACTTTTATTTATTTATATTTTGATTATTATAAACTTTGAATAATGAAATTGGTTATTATATATCCATATATTATAAGTTTCTTCGTAATAAGAATCCAATTCTAACATTAGAACCAAGCCAATAGCTATTTTACAATGCAAATATTGATAGATTATCCTAAAGGCAATATCGTACATTTAAATAAACGATTGATCGCTACGAAATTACAAGATATGTTGGAAATAATGTGTTTCGTGAAAAATATAATTATACAACTTTGTTTTTAATTTAATAGTTTTTCTAAAATTTGATAACTAGTTTTAAAAAGTATATATTTCTGATTGACATACAGTTTAAAAGAAAAAGTAAAGATGAATCCTGAATCTAAAATTAAAAGATATATGTTCGCGAGCACTTATTGGTCGCGAAATTTATAAACAACTTATTCGAAGAAATTCCTAGAAATCCTTTTCTATTATTATCGCTCGCAGACCTATAAAGCCTAAACAAAGGAGATGTTATTTGAGAAGATTATCGTTTTACATAATGTACTCAATATTATAATTGTATATTTTTTGACACACTTTAACCTGTTGGAACAGAATTCGATCCAGCAGACAAGGATGACATATTTAAGATATAGCTATCTCAACGGCAACAAAATCATTCTAATTCGAAAAATTTTTCTCTAATTTGGGAATGTCGCAAATCAGGCACTAACCGCGATATTATTAGTTATTGTCATTCTCCATTGAGAAATTCTCCCAATCCTTGAACTGAAGAAGAGATTTTCTGAAGGTACGAGCGTTATTGGTAACGAGAGTTTCGTGGTATTCACGTCGTAGTCCGATACGATAATTAGATTGTGAACATATCGTGACCGTCAGACATAATTACCTATCGTTATTTGTAAAAAAAGTTTTATTGTGAATGTTTTAATATATCTGACTGCCAGATAATTTGTTCTAACACTATATCGTGCTCTGGTTGTTGGACACGATTATCTAGTATAAAATAGTGAGAGACCTAGCTCTCTTATAAATATGCATATTGCATGTAACCAATAATATAATCCACTCATCATTAAGGAATATACCACTTGCTACGACATCTGTTAAAGGGCATTCTACAAACACTATTAGCTTACCTTCACTATTATCATTATAATACTACTGTTGCAGTCGCAAACAATATTAATTAAAAATTATTAGTAATATTGAATTCTACTTATACAGATAGAACTTAAATACTAAATGTTTTATACAGATGCTTATATAGATTAATACAATCGTTTTCACACTATAAATCATCGCGTCGTCAAATGTAAATAAATAAAGTATTCAATACACTATAATAATAATATCGGCCTTAGTATCCATAAAGTATTTCAAGTAAAATCGATAATTATACTTTTAGCATTATATATATTTAGTATTATATTATACTTTTAGTATAATAATCAATTTTATTTAATATTTTAGTCATCCATTGAATATTTTAATGAAAGTATAACTAT